TCTCCAGCCGATATGAAAACAGTTTTACAGCCCTTACTTCATTGTACCTGAGAAAGGCGGTGGGTTATGACCAATCTTGGATCTGCGTGTCTTGAACCAGGCCCTTCGCCAGTTACCGTTTAAGATGTTGACGCAGAAACGCATCTTCGGGTGCATCCGTCCCCAAGATTGTTTTGCAGCAATCGACTTGAAGGATGCGTACTTTCATGTGTCGATCCTTCCGCACTACAGACCATTTCTGCGGTTCACGTTCGAAGGACGAGCATGTCAGTACAAGGTCCTGCCCTCCAGGCTGTCCCTGTCGCCCCGCGTCTTCACGTAAGTTGCGGAGGCAGCCCTTGTTCCCATGAGAGAACAGGGCGTTTGCATTCCCAACTACCTCAATGACTGGCTCATACTAGCTCAGTCTCAGCATCAGTTGTGTGCACACAGGGACTTGGAGCTTTCGCACCTCAGCCGTTTGGGCCTTCAGGTCCAGCACTGCTTCATGGCCGAGTCCCGAGGTGGGCGCTCACTGGGTCCAAGTTACACCGGCCTGTTGCCAAACCTTCACCCTGTGGTCAGACCTTACGTTCCTCCGGGCAGGAGTGCCCCTAGAACAGGTCTCCAGACATGCTGTGGTTCACAACTGCACTAGCATATTAATTGCCTATAGTTGTTAGCAGAGCACCTTGCCTTGAACTGTCTCAAAGGGTGCTTACGAGACAAGGACGTGCTGGTCCAAATGGACAACACGGCGACCGTTGCGTACATCAACCAACAAGGTGGTCTGCGCTCCTGTCGCATGTCGCAACTCGACCACCACCTCCTCCTTTGGAGTCAGAAGGTTCTGAGGTCACTTCGTGCCATTCACATTCCAGTTCTGCTCAACCATACGGCTGACAAGCTGTCACGAGCTACGCTCCCGGGAGAATGGAGACTCCATCCCCAAATGGTCCAGCTGTTTTGGAGACATTTCGGAGCCGCTCAGGTAGACCTGTTTGCCTCTCCAGAAACCTCTCACTGCCAGTTGTTCTACTCCCTGACCGAGGGAACACTCGGCACGGACGCACTGGCACACAGCTGGCCGCGGGGCATGCGCAAGTATGCGTTTCCCCCAGTGAGCCTTCTCGCACAGACGCTGTGCAAGGTCAGGGAGGAAGAGGAGCAGGTCCAGCTTGTGACGCCGTATTGGCCCACTCGGACCTGGTTCCCCGAACTAATGCTCCTCGCGACAGCCCCTCCCTGGCAGATTCCACTGAGGAAGGATCTACTGACTAAGAAATGGGGCACCCTGTGGCACCCGCGTCCAGACCTCTGGAAACTTCATGTCTGGTCCCTGGATGGGACGCGGAGGTTCTTGGTGACCTACCCCAAGAGGTAGTTGACACCATCACTTCGGCAATAGCACCGTCTATGAGACATGCTTACGCCTTGAAGTGGAACCTGTTCGTCGAGTGGTGTTCTTCTCGTCGGGAAGACCCCCGGAGATGCCCAATCGGGGTCGTGCTTTCTTTTTTGCAGCAAGGGTTGGAGCGAAGGCTGTCTCCCTCCACCCTTAATGTCTATGTCACTGCGATTGCTGCTAACCATGACCCCATGGAAGGGAAGTCGGTAGGGAAGGATGATCTGGTCATCAGGTTCCTTAGGGGGGCGAGAAGGTTAAATCCTCCCCAGCCCTCCTCTATACCCTCTTGGGACCTGTCTCTAGTGCTCAAAGCACTACAGCAGGGCCCATTTGAGCCTTTACAGTCAGTCGAGCTAAAGTTTCTTTCAATGAATCAAGAAGGTAGGGGACCTGCACGCATTTTCGGTCGACAATTCGTGCCTAGAGTTTGGGCCGGCTGACTCCCAGGTAATCCTGAGGCCCCGGCCCGGCTATGTGCCCAAGGTTCCCACTACTCCCTTCAGGTATCAGGTGGTGAGCCTGCAAGCGCTGCCCCCGGAGGAGGCAGACCCAGCCCTACCTTTGCTCTGTCCCGTCCGAGCCTTGAGATTCTACGTAGACCGGACACAAAGCTTTAGGCCCTCAGACCAGCTCTTTGTCTGTTACGGAGGCCGGCAGAAGGGGAATGCCATCTCTAAGCAGAGGATGGCCCACTGGATTGTGGATGCCATCACCCTGGCTTATCAGGCACAGGGTGTGCCCTGCCCACTCAGGGTGCGAGCTCACTCTACTAGGAGGTGTTGCATTCTCCTGGGCGCTGGCTTGTGGCGCCTCGCTGACAGATATTTGTAGAGCTGCGGGCTGGGTGACCCCCAACACGTTCACTAGATTTTATAGCCTCAGTGTGGAGCCGGTATCCTCCTGTGTTCTCACCTCAAATGGGTAGAGGCGCTGAGAGGCCTCGGTTTAGTGTCAGCTTGCTAAAACTGATTTAGAGTGTCCGTAATGTAGGCCCTGTCGAGCTCCTCCATCCCCTCGGCAGCCAGACGGGGCGGAACGTCCAGTGTCAGGCCCTCACTCGCTGAATCAGTGAGAACCGGTAGAGGGCTGAGTTCCATATGTAGAGGGCTAAGTGGTTCCCATATGTGTAAAGTCCACAGTATAGCCTCAGAGCCCGTGTTTCCCCGGCAGACTTCTGCCATTTCCATGAGGGTTACAAACACACATATCTTCCATATGCACCTAAACGGATGTCATATGTGTAAGTGCTTCCGAAACCTCCTTCGGGAAGGATGGGGCTTCCGCAGTGTTCCTGTTCCAAGTGGAATGAGTATGTTTTCCCAGTGTTATCCAATCTCACTTAGTGGGTAGTGCTATAACAGCAGTGCCTACACCGCAAAGGTGCACAGGCGGCTCGAACAGGACACTGGAAGGGGCAGCATCCATGGCGCTGTGATAGGGATCCCAATTCGTCGGTCACCGACATGACTCGGAGTGACTGACTGAAAGGGAACGTCTCGGTTACGTATGTAACCCTCGTTCCCTGAAGGAGAGAATGGAGACGTCACGTCCCGTCGCCACGGCTGCTGTACCACCGCTGAGCTGCCGGGTCACCGGCTCGGCTCCTCAGCGAAAACCTGGTATGCGTTGCACCGGCTGCCTTTTTATGCTTACGCTGTGATCAGCGGCAGCTGGATGCAATCATCGCAATGTGCATTGGCTCGTTTAGTTTACACTCAAAGTGGATTGGTCTCTCTAAGCGAGATCCCAATTCGTCGATCACCGACGTGACGTCTCCGTTTCCTCCTTCAGGGAATGAGGGTTACATACGTAACCGAGACGTTACTTAAGGAAAGTAATCTTATTACATTAGGTGGTTGTCCTGCATCTTCAATAAACAAGCTACAGGTAGTCCAAAATGCAGCGGCTAGAGTCCTTACCAGGTCAAGAAAATATGATCATATTACCCCAATTTTACAGTCTCTGCACTGGCTACCTATTAAGTTCCGTATCAGTTACAAAATATTAATTATGTCTCTATTTGTTTCTCTGTTTTTGCCACGGGATGTCAGGATTTACACAAGTTACGCTTCAGTCTGGATCCAGAACACCTGAGAAGAGATGATGCCAACCCTGAAACAACACACAGAACTACCACATTTTGCTATAAGTTTGATTGCATCATATAATAATTGCTGTTAATAGTGTTCATCGTCTGTTTTATTACGTCTTAAATTGATTTTTCCGTACATTTCTGCCATATGTACATTAATTGACAGTCACCACTGATAAGCTACCACTAAATATTGTAGAAACTTAATTTGCTGTAAAGTTGCTTTGCAATGATTTGTATTGTGAAAAGCGCTGTACAAATAAACTTGACTTGACTTGACATAATTTTTGTTACTTGTATTGCATTACCCTCAACACTGGTAATATGTATGATAACCACCACATTTTTATAAGAAATCCATGTTTATAATTTTGTATAGATATACTTTAAGAGACTAGCCTTTACATACAGATTCTCTTTCTGTACATGTTCGCTCAGTTAGACAAATGAGCTTGAGTGAATTTCTTCACATCTGCCATAAAGCACTTTAGCAAGTACTGTGAAACCTGCTGCTCTCAGCAGTTTCCATCACTGCACTGTACCGATAAGGAGCTGAGAGATGTCTTGCCTTTCTATTTTATCCTCTTTCTGGCTACTGTCCTAACCACCATCGTTAGGAATGTGTTTACAGGCTTTATAGATACAGTACTAAAAGATTACACTATCGAGATTGTGTGTGTGTGTGTGTGTGTGTGTGTGTGTGTGTGTGTGTTGACAATTAATGTGTTAATGAGAGTCAAAAGAAACAGAAGTGCTTTCTGCCATTTATCAACATGTCTCTCTCTCCCAGTCTTACATTGTCAGTTAAAGGTCCAGGGAATAAGGTTCACACACACACACACACACACACACACACACACACACACCCATCCATCCAGAGTTCCAAGTTTTTTTGTCAAAATGTTTTGCCACATCTGCTAATAGTGCATAAAATTGAGAAGGGCGACCATAAATAACAGCTATTTTATATAGCCTACTTGATAAATAAAGATTTGAAGCATTTGGTGCTTGGGAAGTGTTAATTTTAAACTTTGCTTGCATCCATACATTTAATGAATGAATTAACTTATATTTGCACTTACACATTCTGATTTATGCACTGCGTCTGAGCATTATAATTATAATTATTATTTATTGAATCAAACAAACAAACAAACAAAATGTTCTATTTATCCATCTACCTAACTGAGTTACTCGTTTTAAGTAGCTGAAAGTTCCTGGACTTCAGGAAGCCACAGCATCTTTGTTGTGGCTTCATTTTAATTAAGCTCTCTGATATATACTGCAACATTACCAATTAGTTTGCCTCTCTGTTCATTGGCCTTAACTTTCAGAGATGATTGAGTGGAGCACCCTCGTTCTGCGTGTGTTAGTTGATGTTTTAATAACGGGCTGAACATTACGCTGTGATTGGCTGATCAGCGGGATGCTCAGGTGCAGGAGGAGGATGCGAGCAGCCGCTGGATGTCACCATGTGTGTGAGGAGAGATAGCCACGCTGAGAGGGGGAAAGAAAGCTGACCAATAAAGGGCTAATCAATTATTAGCCATTTAATTTATTCCTCAAACAGTAACTTAACCGCTGCAAAAATAAGCCGCTGTAAATAGACGCAAATCCTGTAAATCAGTTCGCACCAGTCGGCGCCCCATAAGCTAAAGCGCATGACTGTGTGTGCCTGCGTGGGAAATCACATATCACCGATCAATGGAAGTTAACCAAGACAAACCCGCCTGACTGTCAGTGCGTGGACGTCTGTAGCCTGCGGACCGCGGATGTTGATTTCGCGTAAGTTTTGTGCAGATGTCACATTGATTCTGTGTGGATATTATTGCATTAGCTGCTTGAATCGTTGATGAATGTGCAAAAGTTTGTGTGTGAATTTTACAATTGGTCCGTACAATGAGAGGATGAAGAGAGGTCAATGTTTATGTGACCCGCTTGTATATTGCAGTTATCGATTTCTACATATCATACATGCAATGTGTGCTAGGTGCACCTGACACATTCAGTCCTGACCATATGGCAAGCTGTTTTAACATTCAGGTATTAAACGAACTAGTTTGTGTTTTATGTCATCAGTACTTTAATAATCATTTTCAGTTTAACTAGTACTAAGTTTATGTTCTATGTTACCAGTACTTTAATAATCATTTTCAGTTTAACTAGTACCCCCCCCTTGCTACTAGTCACCAAGGGAGCAGGAGACATTTTCAAAGTGGGACCATACTGTAAGCAAAGCCCAGATCGTAAGATCAGATTTCCAGATATCGGACCACCACTTCAGGCTCACCGTCTAATGACCATCTTATATTAAATTTGCCTGATCATTAATAGAATAATATTGATTATTATTACAATATGAAGTTAGGCTACATTTATTTATCTTAAACCAGTTGTTCTCAAACTTTTTATACCAAGTACCACCTCAGAAAATAATTGGCTCTCCAAGTGACTAACATTAAAATACAGTAGTGTAGTAGCCCTTACTATTCAGCTACAGCTCTGCACAGTTAAAAAACAAAGCATTTTGATTCCTAATAAGAATATTTATTGTTGTCAACTACTTAACTATAATGCTAACATTAACACTGCACTGTGCTTACATACAGGTAAATAATATAAAAAACAAACAAATAATTATTAAACTAAAATGTGTTTTAATTTTAAAACTCTACTTCCCTTAAATGTGTAAAAAAAACTTTATTCAAAGATTAAATTAAAATCAATGTATTGTGTTTTAACATTAATTTAGATTTAATTGAGTGATTCATCTGCGTACTTGTACCACACTTTGAGAACCATTGACTTAAACAATTATCTCTTTGATTAAGTCATTTAGAATTTAAGGCCATCACAAACATGGCTAAATGGCATCTGGGGGAATGATGACAACTGGCTGGCATGTATAAAATTAATGTCAACTTACCTTATTTGCCTTTTGAAAAAGGAGGCAATACTGTTCTGTTTCACTAGCTTCATCTTTCTGGTTGTGCCAGGCAGACTACTAGAAATTTGTGTTGCAGCTGAGACAGGCACAAGACAACTAAATTCACTGCCTGTTTAGGACCGCTATCAGAAGCACCATTAGAAGAAGATGATGTACCGTTCACTGTCAAATAGGTATAGGTTACATACATGTAGGCTAAAAACAAATGCAATTGTAATTTATTTTCTCATTATTATGGAATAAACATTTTAATAAACATCAGTGTATGGTTTGAATTACAATGAATGTGATGTTCGTTGTCGGAAGTTTTATTTAATGAATCACGCAGACTATTTTCCCTTATCGAGGGGGTCGACTGCTATCTTTTCAAAACCACGGGAGTCATGACCGCCCTGTGTCAATGGCACGCCTGCTAGCCACTATCCCAGTGACACTTACTAACAGATTTTTTGCCACTGAGCTGACTCGATCTGTAGTTCAGATATAGAATATTCACTTCTGACTAATTTGTATTCTAATTATTGCTGGTACCTACAGTATTTCCATTTTTACTATTTGAATAGTTACTAGCATGTATTTATTGGACACTATTGTTTTATTGTCCTATAATCCATTTGTTAGACTGCTAGTAACATATATTTTTTAATGTTACTCGTATTTAATGTTAAACCATACAGTAGCCATTTTGACTATATGGTATACTGTACATGACAAGTAAAAAGCAGCTGTAGTTAATAAGTTACTAGAAATGGCACAAGTACAGTACTACTATATACTACTTACTACTGTAATAAGAAATATGTATTAGTATCTAATTTCAATCTAACATTAGTATTAGTAAACTGCACCAGAAACAGGTGAAATTCATACTAGCCAGAATTGAGTAGCTGATAAATGACTCACAAATGAAAATAGTTCACAATGAAATAGTTCATTGCCACTATTGAGATTATGGCTAGTAGAGTAAGTACATAAGGAATATGTACTAATAACTAACATACTAGATTCCAGTTACTGTTTAATTACTTGTTCATTTTGAAGCTAAAGGCACGCCGGTTCCACATGCATTTAACTAATTCACAACATTTAAAGAAGTAGTTCACTTCCGGAATGAAAATTTACAGACAATGTACTCACCCCCTTGTCATCCAAGATGTTCATGTCTTTCTTTCTTCAGTCGTAAAGAAATTATGTTTTTTGAGGAAAACGTTTAAGGAATTATCTCCATATAATGGACTTCTGTGGTGCCCGTGAGTTTGAACTTCCAAAATGCAGTTTCAATGCAGCTTCAAAGGACTCTAGAAAATGACTACTTTTTTAGAAAATGACCAATTGTTTCGCTAGATAAGACCCTTCATCCTCGGCTGGGATCATTTAGAGCTGTTTGAAGCTGCATTTAAACTGCATTTTGGAAGTTCAAACTCGCGGGCACCATAGAAGTCCACTATATGGAGAAAATTCCTGAAATGTTTTCCTCAAAAAACATAATTTCTTTACGACTGAAGAAAGAAAGACATGAACATCTTGGATGACAAGGAGGTGAGTACATTATCTGTCAATTTTTGTTCTGGAAGTGAACTACTCTAACAAAAGCACTTTAAAAAAATTTTTTTCTGCATTTCATTTCAGCTCTTAGCTTGCATGCTAATCTTGGCATTGTGTACTACAAATATTCTCTGTTATGACAAATTGCTTGTGATGTCGCTTTGAATAAAATTCTGTGCTGAATGAATAAATGTAAGTATAGTTTTAATTAATAAATGTTACTACAGCTTGCCATACTCACCCTCTTCTGATCACAGTGATGCTGGCTTCCTAGAGAGAGGGGTTGTTTCATCATTCATTCATACTTTTTGCAGTATTGCAGTAGTATTTCACTTCATAGGTGTAAACCCCAGCTGACCACCCAGAACTGCATTTGTGGAGAATGCATTGTGTGAATGTAACATCTGTTTGCCACTTCATTCTGCCTCATGGTTGCGTTATAGGTGGATAAAGACCGCTCAATGAATCATCCGCATGCATTGAGCCAACCTGCCTGCACAGCTGCTTTGATTAATTTACCATACATGACAGTGTATAATGACTGACTGATGCCTGCTGTTTTCACTGCATTGTTAAGACAGGGTAACAGGAGTATTTTTTTATTATTACTGCTGTTGTTAAGAAAGAGATTTGATCACGAGAGTGGGGAGAATTTATGACTTATTTCATCCAAACATTGCAATTTGATATGTTTTCATAGCTGGTTTACCATTGCGTTTGTAAAACTACCTTTTATATACTTAATTCTGACTGGCCAATCTCAGAATTTTTTGGTCAAATATTTTTCAAATATTTTGACTGTTAAACTGACTAACTGACAGCTGTCCATTAAGAGAGTATGATTTAATAGTTTTGTGTTTCTCAAATCAATATTTCCTGTCCATTTGCTCATTTGTTCGTTCATTCATTAATTTACCAAGTCATCTTGTAATAAGTGGCATAATGTGCAGTCAGCTATGCATAATAGCAAAATAAACCTCTTCAGCATGATACTAGACCTGCATTGGGGTTCATTTGTGGTTAATGTTAAGAAACTTACCAGCTGACTGTCAGTTACCACTTATATTGAACTGAAGAAGGTTTAAGATGATTGTATTATAATATTTCATAATATTTTAAGTTATTTGCCATGGTTTGTTGTATAGTTAATGTTATTGATAGTACACATTGATAAAATGTTGGAATAGCATTCTGCAGTTTTTTCTCAAGTGTTATTATTTTGAACGTTTGTGAGTCTAAAGTGATAATTAAAATGCAGTGCTTTCCTATATAATATACTCTTAAACAGATTTTTATGTTTGTATGTTATGTACCTTGTATGTTTTTTCAGATAAGTAGAAATATGCATATGCCTAAAATTAAAATGGCCTTGTACTCAGAATGAGTTTTAAAATCATGGGAAAATGTTTAAATTAATAGCACAATACCATGATGACTAAAGCGAGTGGCAGCTGGAATCCTGTGATCCAACTCTTTTGTGTAGTGGGAAATTGCACTCAGGATATTTCGAGCAGCCCTGAATAATGATACTTGAATCAAACACTGCAGCATGTTGAGCTGAAATGGAGGCCAGTCTGATGGATTGGGGTAGTTACATTAGAGCCTAAAAGAGAATGCGTTTTCCTCCTCTCCCCAGTCCCATTATTCAGCACAGACAAATGACCCAAATGACACAGATAGAAAAGCAATTACTTCACACCATATTTCTTATTTGTAGGGTGAATGTATACCTTATATATTTCCAAGAAAGTGTCAGACTTCTAGTTTTGAAAGTGGGGTATTGCCATCAGCACAGGTGAGCTAAAAGTAGTTTATTTCTGATTATGGCTATATGGTAATTGAATGAATTAAATAAACCTTCATGCCTTAACACTCTCTGAACAGTGATTAGTGGTGTTTGCTAAGGCCGACATTACAATGACTGTTTCTATGTGTGCTATGGACATGAATGATATCTCAAATTGTGTTGATTATATAAACAGTAAACCAGTTGACTCAAAAAAGGGCATTTTTGAGGAAAGTGCATCTGTAGAACCCCCACCCCAATAAGCTGTACCCACTAAGCAAAGTTTTGGCTCTAAACAGATGAGTACAAAACAGCAAGGCTATGTTTGGTCATTGTGTATGTATTTACTGCATCTGAGATGCCCACCAGGAATCTTGGTTGTGACAGTAGCTACTAGAACAAAGCACATCCTGAGCTTGACCCACATTTAACCTTCCACTGCTGAGCACAAGCTCCCCTGTGCTGTATTATTGCCCCTCAACCTGCAGAACATTTTCACTTTTACATGTGAATACTTTTGTACACAAATGTATTTATTTAGAATAATTTTGTAAACAAATGTATATATATACACATGCATACATACATTTGGTCCCCTGAAATAATTTTTACTGGGTTTGACTACATTTGTTAGATTACTAGCATTGCATACTGTTAGCTGATTAGCCTGCTAGCTTAGCAGAAATATTAAATGATTTGGTTTTATTTGTATTTGTTCGATCAGGTATTTCAAGATAGAATCAGCTCTACAGGCAAACCTAATCTCTATGGAACAATGTGTATAAACAAAATAAAAACTGTGGTCACTATACATACTGTATACAGTATGCCAATAAGGCAATGTCTTCATGTCTAAGTGGATAGTCCTTGACCAGAATAAGCTGCAACATGAACCGGACTTTATGCTGTCTTGTCAAATGTCTGTCTATATTATACTGTAAGACTGTTTCTTATTTCTCTCTCAATATATAGTTAGTTAGCATCTAATGTAGCTGTCAGACTGTTTTTCGTCTTTCCAGGATCTCTGAATATAGAGGTGTGTGACGAGTTTTGGGTGTTTGCATTAGAATTAGCCTTCTGGATATTTGAGAATTGCTGTCAAGAAAATAGTTAGTTGCCTTTATGTCTTAGTGTGTGTCTTTGTGTGTGTGTGAGGATTGTAAACAGGTGGAGTGTAATGTGATTGGTGGAGCTTAAAGGGCACAGCTGACTGAGTCATCACCCAGAGGCTGCATTTAACGTCATACACTCTCTCTCCTTCTCTTTGTCAGCATCACTCCCCCCCCCCCCTTCTCTGTAATACCATCTCTGTCTCTTCCTATAATTGTCCCACCTCCTTCCACACAATCTCCTCCTGTTTCCCATTTTATTTCATGGCTCTTTATCAATAAGCAGCTACAGTATCCCCCTTTAATGTGCATCCCTAACAGTTTAGTAAGCAAAATAAACATCTATGTTTGATATGTCCTTTAAAAAATACTGGCTGATATGGACATCCATTTTTATTTTAGTGCATAATTCTCTGAACCCCTTTTATCTTATCTGTCTCTCTTACTTTTCACCTACGATGATGAGCCTATTCTGAAAAGTCCTCATCTCTCCCAGCCCCATGTAAGACCATATTAAGAGAGAGAAAATATATGTGAGATCTTGGTCCACAGGTAGAATTTTCCAATGACTGTAGCCTGGCTGAGCACATTAATGCAGCTCCAAATCCACGTGTGCATTGTACCGGTCTTATCTTAGGCAGCCTGTTTGCTTGTTAAAGATAACCAACTTGTTTTGCAGGAACTCTTTAGTATAAATGCATTTTATGGTTTTATGTTTGTGCATTTATATCCATTTATGTGATCTCTCTGTGGAGAAATATTAATTTGCTATGCCATTTAAATCATGACTTTGTGATAAACATTTGCCATTGATTTTGGTATTTGTTTTTGGTAGTTATATTTCTCTCCAGATACACAAGCAGTATGTATGTATTTATGTATGTACAGTGGGTACGGAAAGTATTCAGACCCCCTTAAATTTTTCTATGTATTTTTATTGAATACACACTTCCTGAGGTGCATTTGTATTTGAAAATGGCCTGGTTTGACCAACATGAATAAACATGACAGTTTGTTTTTCATTTAATTTACTGTTTAAGACAGATTATTTGAAACAACTGAAACCACAAAAATACACAGGCTTGGGGAAAAAATCCATGAAAACACTGGACTCTGTCAAGTTATAGACTTCCAAAAGTAACATACTGTAGGTTTCACAGATGTAACTCAGAAAATAAATGTATTTCAAAGATTTGATGCCACTGACCTACAAAAACTTTGCCAAATACAGTGGTTAGTTCTGCCTCATAAGTTCTCACTGTAGCAGTCTGGTACATTTTTAAAAATATTGTTCCAGAAAGTTGTTAAATTCATCCTATGAAATTCATATAATCAGATAAAACCTTGCCAGATTGAGAATTTGCTCCATCTGAGGCTGAGACTAAAAAGGAGAAGAAAAAGACAATTATAAGGAAGTGATGAATGAGGAGAGACAATGTTTTAAACTGAAATAGTATTTTATTACTGTCCAGACTAGTCAGCCAGCACTTAAGAGGTAACATACTATGTTTGTGTATAAAATAAAGCCATTGTGTAAATGTGTGACCTCAATATTGGAATTTCACATATTTGTTATTGTGAAAGTCAATCCCATGCAATCCAAGCATTTTTTAGTTTAGACAGAATGACTTTCATTTCTCTCTTATTTCTCAGTGACCTCCAGGCTTTATATTCAAAGTCTTTAAGGACAACCATTTGTGATTCCAGCGACCTTTGACTCTTGACTCCAAAGCAGTGATGGGACGTAAACTGGACCTGTCTGGTCTGAGCAATGATGAAGCAGAGCATGTGCTCAGAGTGGTACAGAGAGACATGCACCTCCGTAAGAAGGAAGAGGAGAGGCTCAGGTAACAGCACGCGTGAGTGTGAGACATTAGTGAAGATTTAATTTGATTTCATTCGGCTGGCAGTTCTGAAGCCTTGAGTATTGAAAATGGTGACTATATCATTTGTACTGATGCTAATTCAAAGATGGTGCCTCAAGATGGTTGTGCCAGGTTTGACATCTTTGACATCAGGCAGTAATGACGTAAAGTTTTAAAATGTTTTGAACTGAATTCAAATGTGTTATTTAAGAGCTACACAGTGTTTCCCACAGGATTTTGTGAGACTGTAGTGGACGGTCCTCGACCCCTCTAGGAGGGGTCCAGGGGCATGGTCCCCCGTAAGAAAATTTGGTACATTTTAAAGTTAAATTCATAAATCTGGTGCACTTTGAGAGTGCTCCAACACAGGTTCAGTCACAGTGTGCAAACTAAAAGAAAAAAAAGCCGGTAAATGTACTTGTTCTTGAAATTTTAAGTGGACTCAACCCTCTTTTTAGGTGTGATATAGTGTCTCAGTCTCACTGGTGAATTAAGAAGCCAAACAAATTAGAATAAAATAATAATAATAATTTTATATTATTATTCCTATGACAGTAATAGCCATATATTGTAAAACAATTGCACTGTGAAATAAATGAAAATGATTTTTTTTTCAGGCATATTATTTTACCTTACTCTACAGTAGGGAAATTGCAATTCTTTTGTCCTAATTTCTACACTTGCAAGCAGGGCCTAAAACTAACTTTCACATCTGCCAGTGGCTGGTGACTTGAGAAAATGTACCGGCCATAAATATTTTTCCTTGCCATGAAACATTTGAATCACGATACAAACAATGATGCATAGATAAAACCTGCATGAAACTAAAACAGACAGGCTGAATGAGAATGCAAATTCACTCTCTGACAGCAGGTGGTGCTTATGGATCAGCAATGATAAGGGGAAAAACGCCATCCAAACATTTGTGAAGTCAGTTCCCTTCAGAAATACATTCATATAAACCCCACCCCAATATTTATATTTTTCTTCCCAACAGTGAGCTTGCTGTACCTGTACAGTATTTTCTCTGTGCGCATCTGTTAATTTTAGGCCATGCTTGCAAGAGATAACCTTGATCTTTTATTTTAGCGGAAACTTCAGTTGAGCTTTTATTTTGGCGGAAAACTCCAGCTTCTGTGAAAACAGGTTTACAAACATTACTAATTTAATGAAATACTGTAAACATTTGCCCATTATAATGTTGAAAATTATGCAAATGTGCAAATTATGCATAACGTGGCTGTGGTCTACCCAAACGCGTGCTAAATTTACAGCACATTCAATAACGGAGTTCACCGCATTCACTGTGAACGGAGCCGCTCAGAGAGACTGAGATGCAGAAAACACCGGATCACGAGCCGATCCCTTGCACAATGTGCGCGCTTCACTTTGAAACAAACAGCACAAACAGACTTGATAAATCATATTATTCGCTTTTGGTTTTAATTTGTTTAACGGATATTTGTCAAAGCAATGGCGAGAAACACAACTTTTTATGTTATATGAGAGGTATAAATCTTCGGTGTATTATGAAACCGTGACGGAACAGATTACCTGTTTACAGATTACAGATTAGGGCTGCCACACTCTAGTTAATGTATGGGAAACACTGGCTACAATAGAGGGCTGAAGATTTTCACCAAATAAGTACTTAAATTTTGCTCTGTTTCTCACACAAAGCTATAATATTGTTTTAGAACACTTAAAATATAGTACATAAATCATATAGACCACAATTATGGTACTTTAATGCTGCTCTTTGTCCTTTTTTTGAGCTTGACAGCTCAAGATGAAAAGGTAAGAACCTTTTGTGTTACATACTGTAAGTTGTCAAGTTTTTATATAATTTAGATAAAATAAAAAAAAAGTAATGTATGCAATTTAACAGAAGCTGACCCAAAAAGCTCAAAGATTCAAATGTATGTGCAAATGATGATAGTGAGTGTGTGATGACCATCTCTTAATGTCATGTGAAATGCGATGTGAAAACCCATATACTGTATTTCTATGCTACTCTTTTTTGCTGTCTTTAATATTGAGGTTGCCGGTCAACTACTTTTCTTTTTTCTTTTGTCTTTTTGGTGTATTCACCAACACTCTACAATTGTAATGCACTCTGGAGAGAATAACTAATCACAGGGCTGTCACTGTGATGCATTTCTTGGCTAGAATGCACATGTGCAACATGTTTGTTCTTAGTGAAAATACAGTAAAAATGCAGTGAACGTTTTGCTTTTTAAAACAATGTCAGCATTTAGTTTGGCAGTTGATATGCCGTTGGCATTTCCCATGAGTCTTTGTTTCTGTCAGAACTCATTGGTATGGGTCGCGGGGTTAGACGGTTGGAAGGCAAAGGTTATGGATCTTGAGATTGCTCAGTGTTGCGAGCATTTTGAGCATTGTCAGACATGACTCACTTTGGTCTTGATCTTTTTTGATGAGTCAACAGCATGTCATAGACTCTTAAGGGAGTATGTAAATATATTTTATTTACTGAGTGTTTTTCAATGGTTTATCTGAGCTAGCTGGCAGTGAAGAGTATAATCCGTCATTGAAGCACTTACCATTTTTAATTGTGGCTTTCAAACTGACTCCAACTACACTGTGCAGTTAAATGACTAAAAGCAGCCTGAATTTGTCATACATGTCATCATAAAAATGTTCCATCATCAGCCAAATTCTGCAATACCAGCCCATGTGCTGAAAAGATTTGTATTGGTTTTATTGTTTTGTTGAGTAAATTAGCCCACTAGAATGGCATTCCAGTTTACCAGTGTTAATTCACGTTCAGCTTAATTTCAGATAGATTTGTTCTTTATGTTATTGACTTTGATTATTGACACTGTCACGATCTCCAGCTGGAGTGCCCATGAGCTCCTCTAGTGGGCACTCCATCCCATACCTTTACCACTCAATCCCAGACTAGGAACTGATTACAGACACACATGTTTTCCATTAGGAGTACTATTTATGTCACACACACACCTTGCTGAGTCTTGTTTTGCTGTTTCAAAGCGTACATTTCGTTCTGGACATTTCTAAGCATGTCCTTGTTTTCCTGTTTCCTTGCCTTGCGTTGCCTTGCCTTGCCTTTGTGTTTTTGAATTAGGATTGTTCCCTGCAGGACCGGATTGGCTAATCAGGGAGGTTCTGTATAATGGTTATACTGATAAAAATTATGTTTCCTCAAAATTATAATCGTAATGATTGTCATTTGAGAAATGTACTTTTGCATTTCAGGTATTGCACTTTCTCCCGTAAGCACAAATCAATAGAATGTGGATACATACATGGTGTACCGTATTGACCCGAATATAAGAAAATGTTTTTTTTCTTGGAAATACATCTGAAAAAACGCGGTCGTCTTATACTCAGGGTCTAGACTGTGACATGTCAATAATACACCCACAACAATAGGTGGTGCCAAATACGCATAAATCAAGTGTGCCATGAAATACGTAATGTAATGCGTGTTGTAAAGATCGCGAGTAAAAACAAAAGAAAAAGAAACGCTTACAGCTGCATGAGTCGTGACTGTCATGTTAGCCTGATGGGACCAAACTCCCTTTGTGATTTTAAAACGTAAGACAGTACCCAGATTTGAAGACTACAGTAAGATTGAACTTCTACTGTTAACAAGATTTTGGTAGGCTACTATTAGATGGATAGCCTAAATGTCCTAATTCAGATGGGCTACCTGTTTTTTTTTCATGACTCACTTTGGTCTTGATCTTTTTTGATGAGTCAACAGCATGTCATAGACTCTTAAGGGAGTATGTAAATATATTTTATTTACTGAGTGTTTTTCAATGGTTTATCTGAGCTAGCTGGCAGTGAAGAGTATAATCCGTCATTGAAGCACTTACCATTTTTAATTGTGGCTTTCAAACTGACTCCAACTACACTGTGCAGTTAAATGACTAAAAGCAGCCTGAATTTGTCATACATGTCATCATAAAAATGTTCCATCATCAGCCAAATTCTGCAATACCAGCCCATGTGCTGAAAAGATTTGTATTGGTTTTATTGTTTTGTTGAGTAAATTAGCCCACTAGAATGGCATTCCAGTTTACCAGTGTTAATTCACGTTCAGCTTAATTTCAGATAGATTTGTTCTTTATGTTATTGACTTTGATTATTGACACTGTCACGATCTCCAGCTGGAGTGCCCATGAGCTCCTCTAGTGGGCACTCCATCCCATACCTTTACCACTCAATCCCAGACTAGGAACTGATTACAGACACACATGTTTTCCATTAGGAGTACTATTTATGTCACACACACACCTTGCTGAGTCTTGTTTTGCTGTTTCAAAGCGTACATTTCGTTCTGGACATTTCTAAGCATGTCCTTGTTTTCCTGTTTCCTTGCCTTGCGTTGCCTTGCCTTGCCTTTGTGTTTTTGAATTAGGATTGTTCCCTGCAGGACCGGATTGGCTAATCAGGGAGGTTCTGTATAATGGTTATACTGATAAAAATTATGTTTCCTCAAAATTATAATCGTAATGATTGTCATTTGAGAAATGTACTTTTGCATTTCAGGTATTGCACTTTCTCCCGTAAGCACAAATCAATAGAATGTGGATACATACATGGTGTACCGTATTGACCCGAATATAAGAAAATGTTTTTTTTCTTGGAAATACATCTGAAAAAACGCGGTCGTCTTATACTCAGGGTCTAGACTGTGACATGTCAATAATACACCCACAACAATAGGTGGTGCCAAATACGCATAAATCAAGTGTGCCATGAAATACGTAATGTAATGCGTGTTGTAAAGATCGCGAGTAAAAACAAAAGAAAAAGAAACGCTTACAGCTGCATGAGTCGTGACTGTCATGTTAGCCTGATGGGACCAAACTCCCTTTGTGATTTTAAAACGTAAGACAGTACCCAGATTTGAAGACTACAGTAAGATTGAACTTCTACTGTTAACAAGATTTTGGTAGGCTACTATTAGATGGATAGCCTAAATGTCC